GTTCACTTGCTGAAGCTTGTACCGTCTTATTCATCGTCCGTATAGTTAGTCCTGTGTCTAACCTTCGACGTAAAGTGTAAGGTGTCTGGTCATTATCATCTTCTACAGATTGTATGGGCTCATTAGACACACTACCGGTGCATTACTCTTTCATAGATCCCATCGCGTTTGGTTCTGTTTGACATATTATCTCGAGGAGGCATATCTCTGATTGTCTTCAGCCGAACATCATATGATAGCCTGCAACGGAACATGTACTCGCATTTTAGCATCCGTGCTACCATAAGTTTTGACTGAAGGACCACCTACAACATTCTCGGGCCACTTCCTTTGTGCTTCTGTGTGGTACGCAACCGTGACATGGATTTCGCTAACACATCATCCAAGCATAATGTTTCACGAATATAACACCACTGTTCTTTATCATGGGTGGTTACTTCATGCTCATCACATGCTTCAGTTTCAAGAACCCGTGAATAACTATGGTTCTGGTTAAAGTTTCATTCCGGTAATTCTCTAAGGTGCCGTTAAATCGATAACGCCCACCCCATGGGATGTCTGGAAAGATACGGATGGAGCAGCCTTCATTGCTGAGACTACTTGTCGACAGTAGTACTGATTCTACTTTAGTGATGGAGTTCAATACAACGCGCAGAAGTCTTGGCTCTCTGAACTGTTTAGAGTTGGGGTGTCGTGTGATACGCACTACATGCACAGGTTTCATCACAAAGAATTAGGTTACTAATAATATCCAACTGGTTGAGGTCATCCAACTGCCTGCCCCTTATCGATGTCGAATTTGATTCTGGGATATTGGAGCACAGTACGTTCAGTACAGGTAGTCGTTTCTTTACACCTTTCGACATGTCGCGGTTAGTGACTGAAGTACTCGGAGATATACCACAGGAAACCGGTGGTGCATGCACTAGGAAAACTTCGCTAGGCTCCTCAGTTTCCGATCCAGTTGGGGGTGATGATACTTGTAAATGACGGCTCTTCTTGGAAGCAACCGTAACCCAACTTTCGCTGGTCTGGGTGATGATTTCCAACAAGGGACATGTCATGTATCGCGGCCTCGGCGTCCGTAACTGCTGAAGGCAGTCAGGTCTCACTTACGAATATGAGGTCCCAGACGCTTTGTACCAACGATACTAAGCCTAAACTAAGTACGTCGTACGAAACTAAACTAGACACTACGAACAGATAAACCTAGACTTAACGCACGGTCTGGGCAGAAGAAGAAAACGAATTATCCTGTAACCGTGGTTCTATAAGGCATAATAAATGCAGTACATGACTTACGAATAGGTTTCGCAATCGTAATGCAAGTGGGCAGAAACTGTCCAGCGTGGGGCGGATCGAGTATTGGGGCAGTGTCACAGTAACATAATAATAAGAATGACCTTGAAACCTCAAGGATGTGTCAGTGATGGAGTGTAAGAAATAAATACACACACAGTAACGCAGTGTAAATGTGCAAGATAATCAGGGAAATGAGATACCGTGTCCTCATGTAAGCAATCCGGTTTGGGGGATACATTGAAGTTCCTTTTGGACTTTACACGCTTGATACTTGGCGTAACCGCAGTTGACCGTGTTTGCTCAGGAGTCGTGCATTGGTGTACAGGCAGGAAACTTGCTCTGTTCCTATCAATGCCCGTGGGATGTACATTTTGAGTATGTTGTTGTGCCAACCGGTGAAAAGTCGGCAACCAATCGTATTTTGGGTGAGGCCATGAAGAACCCATTGTCAGATACATGGATCCCGCCATTACCTCTATATTCCTCATTTAAAGGCAGTATTTGAGGTGTATTCGCCAGTTTTGTTGGCGTTCTGAGTGAACTTAGCCAAACTATTAGGTGGAGGTGGTCCGACTAATTCGCTGCTTTCGTATTTTTTCTTTGGAGCAGGTGCTTTTATCCGAAGCTCAGAAGGAAGGCTGCTACGGCCGGCATACCGGCTCTCTAACGCCCTCGTCGACATTCGTCTGGATGGAAGTACCACTTTCACGATCCTCAGGCCAGTTGCTTTGTAAGTTGACGACCTGAGTAGACTCAAGGTTGATTGCTTTATGGCGATTTGCAGCGACAGAGTTGCTCGAATGTATTGCCAAGGCTCCTGGTCGCGGGCGGTCGATTCGAGCTCATCATGACCTGCAACCTCGAAACACTGTGTACAAGCATGGACCTATCCACGATTCCTTTCGGCATTCTTCCAAGTCGTGCTTCGCCTGTTTCCTCTCGCTCCACGGAAGATCCGGGAAGATGCAGATGGAACATGTCTCATTCCGAAAACGAGGTATTGCAAACAAGATATCATCTGCTTCACCAGCGGAAGGCAGTGAAACACGGGAAATTCTCGGTTCACCGGAACCGAGAATTTGGATGACCCGTGATCGGTATCAATTTGGCGGACTCAACTACAACACCTAGGATGTCACATATGGAGTTCCACTGGTTCACATCATCGAGTACTTTTCCTGTTAAGGAATTTAATATTGACACTTAAACGTTGGCGCAGATTACCGATGGTACGCTTTGCGTAGCTCGGATTGACGTCAGTCGCCCAGCTGCTCTGTATACAACCGGTGGAGGCAATTAAGTATAGCTTCGCCTTCTTCACTTACTTTGTGCCCTAGGGGTAACTGAAGACCTAAGTTTCCAGTTGGTTTCGACAGAAATCGTGTTCCAACCACCAACAATCTCGACATCCCACTGAAATTCCGGAGCAGTTTGGAGGGTGGATGAGGCCCTGACAGCACTTATTACAACCGGACTGGCGGTGTTTGCTTTAGACGCATTTGGGCAGCTTGTGGCGTTGTCTTATAATGCCAAAAAAGACTCATTTTTAATGCTGTGCCCCGCATTCTTCCGATGTTTTGCATCGGAGCCTAATGACAAGGGCTGGGGTTTGGTCACTGTCGAACTTTCCTCAAATGAATCAACTTGGGTTTTCCTCAACCATTCCATAATTTCTACCAGTCTTTCGTGTTTCTGCGCTAGTTCACGCAAAAAGCTTTACCAGTGTGATAACCATACATGCTTCACTGAACCACAGAGGATCTGATTTAATGTTGTTTCCTCAACTGGTTCATTGTGAGCTTTAAACACTTAGTATGAAACGTATGGCGGAAATTTTTACACGAAATTCCGGTTCGTACATTGCTATGGCATAAAGAAAAGCCACATACTACTGCCGGCCTTGGCATGCAATTAGTGGCAACTATTGCTTGGTCGTCAAAAAGCATTGCGTCGATCGATACCTTTTCGGTCAATGGTGTGGTTGTCTATCTGTCGCTGTGGTATCAAGGTCAAAGTGCTCGGTGTGTCCACGGCTGGCAGTCTAGGATTGAGCGAATGGAAGGCTTGTACTCTGATTTAAATAAAGCGAGTAAGCGATGGGGACACAAAATATTGGATAGGTAATTCGCTTAGTAGTTGGCAACTGTGATGGAAGGCTCGTCGTATAGGTTTCCGTGTAGCTTTCTGTGGCCCGGGGTTCGAAAACTTCCGCGATTTATCTCCCGCAAGAACATTGCACAGTCAGCGATGTTAAAATTACAGATGTTCCAAACAATGTAAATCCGAGAAATGGAACTCACTAAAGAGCGCTTATGAAGCTGTATCGAATGAATGTAAGCCCACGTGTGTATGCTGAGAGACGTGTCAGTAAATACGATTAGTGTAAGAGACCGGCTTTTGTACGTCCGCGCGGTGAACTGAACCGATCAATAATGTTAGTCTCAAGGTTGTCCATGTTTCTATTGGGTACTCGATAGGCTGGATCGGAACTTGCATCGGCCGTGCACTTTTAGCAGATTACTGGCAGGCATAACATCCCCGAACCACGGCCTCGACACTGACATGCAATTTTGACCACCAATAGTATTGGCTTAACTGGGCTTTGTTCGCACAGTGCCCGGGTGGCCTTCATATGCGCATCTAAGTACTACCCGAACAAGTGTTCCAGGTATGACAAACTGCTCACCTCTCAGCATACGATTAATTACAGAAGACAGGTCTTGCCAAAGTGTGTGAAATGCGCGTAACTCAGGTTGAATTTTCGCGCAGTTTGGCCAGGTAATAGCCATGCATTGACGAATTTTTACCGGCATTGGAACAGTATCGTGTTCTATCATATCCAGTCAAAAGTAGTAGCCTAAGACACTCATTCGAAAGGTGGGATACCACCTTTACCTCTTCCAATTATTCTCTCTCCTTCTTTGGATACCGCAAGCCTCCGAAGCGTTTCCACAACTTCGTTAGGACAACCTGGAACGTATATCATCTTATAATTGTAGTTTACTCAAAGTAAATACTAGTAGCTTATCCATATCAACCTCTGATACTTGTTGCTACGGTCAAAGAGATGTTTAAGTACAGTATGGTCGGTGCACAAGGTAAAGCGACACTCGAATACATAGAAAGGTCATATTGCACATGTATAGACTCACGCGAGTGTCCCCGTTTCGCCTGTGAAACTTTTGCTTTCGATGCCCGACAAAGTGGGTGAGGTGTAAGCAATTTAAATTTAAGTGGAGGTGCGATCCCCTTGCCTTAGTAACCTCAGTCCTCATACCTTATATGCCCGATAACCATGAATGTGCCAAGAAGCTTAGAACGTGGAAAGAAGTTCGAGAACTCATAATTTCAGGCTGAGCCCTTGCACAGTAAGAATGTGCGGAAATAGATAACAATAAACAACGTGTTTCTCCTAACTCTGATTGCCGAAGCTAAGGGAAGACAGGTTGAACCTTTCCTTACTGGTAGTGTATGGCCCACAAAGAGCAAACCATCGCAGCCTACTTTTACAGGATCAAAATAAGGTCCGTTATAACCGCCTAATAACTACCAAACCAATTCAAACCAGTCAGTGTTTCGCAGTGTATCATAACGACGCCACAAGAAATACTTCAAAAGTTTGCACGTGACTCCTGGTGTGGCACCACATTCATACTAAGTGATTGGTGCGTAGCATAATGCAGTGTGTAATATGCGTGCCTCGGTTTGATCTAACCATGTGGTACGCATCTCCAGATCACAAGGGACGGGCACTATGCGGTGAGCGCAGGTTGCACCCACGTGATGCCGAATTATGGAGGATGAATTATATAAGTTTATGGCTCACAAAGTAACCAACGAGTACAGTCAGAAAATGGTGGACGTCAGTGTGCAGCAATTTGACATGGATTCCAATATGGTCAATGAGACGACCAAGAGGGCGGGCGAATTGTACAAAGAATTTACCTCGCCAAGGAAGGTGGCATCAGCACTTAAACAAGAATGCGACAAAAAATATGGCCGCGCCTGGAACTGTATAACAGGGCGAGATTTTACCAGGTGAGTTACTGTCATTTTCGTCGACTCAGATCGTGCTCACACTGTATGGTTTTTGAGCCATTTGACTCTACAGTTACAATCGTTAACTAAACTTAGAGCCATTGTTTTAGTGTGCCTTAGAGCCAACAATAACTTGTAAACTAAAGCATGAATCCCATAATTGCAGTACCCAAAGATTGGGGACCCCAGAAATGGTCCGACGGCACTGTGTGCTGCGAATCCTTTACAGTCCGACTAAGTGGCCTTGACTTCATAAAACAAGTGCTGGAATATGTACGCAGTAATACCTGCACACATTGCAGTTGGGATATCCACTAAGCACTAGGACTGTAGAATCATAAATCTTTATACGCTCTGAGTAGAGAAGGCGAGCCAGAAAGATGGATTATACACGGTGTTTCATGCATGGGGGTTCACTTATTGTGTCGGTTTTTGTGAATATCAAACATTTGGCTGTTGGTACCGCTGCAGTACTCCTATCTCAGCGTATCAGATTGGTTTTAGGCCGTCCTTGTAAGGTGCTATTCGGGCCAAGAATTTCACTCGTTCACTCTATTGCCCAAAGCGTCTCAAACTTTATTAGGTAGCAAATTGATACCCCGTGAAACTTGAAAACAGACTACCACTAAGCTACTGAACTTCTACGGGAATCATGCATTCTGTGTTGATTAAATATAGGATTTAATGGCCTCTCGGTAAATACGAATCCACTTCGGTCTGATGACGCCTCGAAACGCACACAGAAACTGCGCCTCTCGAATTGCCTACAGGCAATGAAATAGAACAGATTGATGTATATTCATTGTACGTTCCATCAACCTACCTGTTATTACCAAATGGCAAAATTCTTGATCAAACTAACCTTCCAGTACACAACTCACTGTCATTCGTGAAAAAGTGTTGTTGCCTGAAAACAGAACGTGATGGGCTGCTGGTCACACTGTGTGCCATCTTAAACGACAATGAACAAGTCACCTCTACGTGATCTATAGACACATTTGTATGGTCCAATTAGCAGCATCCATCCCTCTTAGTACATATACAACGGACACCGAGACTACCTTAAGGGGTTTTGAGGTGATTTCAGTCAATACCTAACTGTCATAGAATCAGAGTATTTGAGTGTAACCTGGTGATCCGGACACTATACCCGACTCTAAACTTACTTTTATTGTTAACAACTAACTGCAAGCGTGCCAACACAACTGTTTTGGGATCGAACAGAAAGTTTAGTAGGACCGGTTGACGAATTTATGAGAGTGAGAGCCTTGCCCCGATAAATGGCTATTAATCGACCATGCTGGAGTCAACAAAATCTGTCTCAATGAACCGTACATGAATTTCGTTGATGGGTAAAGTTTATGGGGCCAAGGTTATGCGACTTGTTTTCATTATTTCTCTGAGTAGTCTGCAATCTGGTCGAAGTTCCACTCTACTACACAAGTGATCTACTGACCCACTTTCACCAAGTAGATTTTCCTCGTTTACGATGGTCAGCAATGCTCCCCATCAAAACTTGAACGGATCCGTAAGGCTGCCGAGCTATAGTAGGATTTGGTCATTGATCACTACAGCAGAATACAGCAGAGAATGTCAAACTTCGGTTGATTTTCTTTCCTTGGCATATGCTCAGCTTATTAGATAAATAAGTCCCGCAAATCAGCTTCTGTTAGATATCAGGTACGCCACTAAGTGATTCCGGAGTTTTGCACTTTCGTGTCTTCGTTGCTTCGTCAGATTATTCCATTTGTGACTCACGCCTTCATCGTGTTTCTCGTTGCAGCTACGTGTCTTATCAAAAGGGTATGTTTCTGGAATTCATGATTGGGGACTACAATTTTATCTTGTTCAAGTCGGGAGACAAATAAACTTCACATGCGACGGCATCCGTGAAAGAAATCCTTTAAACAATAACACTTATTTAGACATGATACTTTCTTACGATCGAGCACCGGTTAAAAGCAGGCTAAAAGAATTAAAGACAATTATATGAAACGGTCGTTCTCCTTTATTTTTGAGCTACTGATTGCGGCTGAGGGTATTGGATGCAAGCTATCTTTACCGTTTTGTGATGATGGGTAACACTAATAAGCCCAAAATGAGGGCGGTTACGGTGCAATTTGTCATCAGATTGGAAACTTGTCGGTCTCTTAGTTTCTATCTTTCTCACTCTGGTCACCATATTCACCAGATTCCGCATATTCACAGAAAATGCATATGCTTGTTTAAACTTTCGCTCCTCTAGTGCCGCAATCTCCTTAGCAGCCTGTGGATACGTTCCAGGCCCACTCGTGTTTCTGTGCTGTCCGTGGAACTATAGACTTGTGGGTAACAAAGGAAATATCAGACAGTTCCTGCAGATAGAAAACGCAAATCCGAAAAGCAAATGCATCCCGAGCAAAAACCCCTATTGGTAGTGGACACATTGTAAAGTTCGCATGTGCACGCAGCTTTGTTACAATATGTCGCGACCCAATAACTTGGACTATACTGCGTAGATATCGCACCAGGTTTGCAAAACTTCGTTTATTGTGAAAAAAGACGAATTCTTTTGATGTAGTTAGCATTTGGCATTGGCGATCTTCCGCGACATTTTCAGCCTAAGCGAATGAAAATTCATGCAATCGATTCGTTGTTGTCTAAATATTGCTCTAATAATAGGTTCCTCTATAAGCAGCAATATAATAGAGAAATGCTGTATGCTAACTTCATGATGGGTGTTTATCCGGAGCAGCCTCCAATCTAACGATTGAATATGCTAGAGGTTCGGGATATCATAAATTAAAACAGATACAGTCACATGACAATCGTGAGACAAATGCCGTGTGGAATGCCTTGGGGAATCCTCAGTACGAATTTGCAACGTTTAAGCGCCCTTAGTTTGACAAACAACATTCACCCTCAGCAACTTCTCATAACCAACGAGGTATACACGTAAAGCATATGTCGATTGAAAAGCCCGCCGAGTATACAACCCACTTTACAAACAATGTCCTTACCAATTCTTGACCCCTCGGCCCCTACACATGATCACTTGGATGAGAGGACGAAATCACCAGCAGGTAAAGAGATGCAAGATGGTGGGCTAAAAATAGGCAC